GCCTTCCTGATTACACCCTTGCATGCCTGAGAATATTTTTGTACTCCTCCCTGGTCATTTGTCCAGTCTTCCACTTCTTGTAAGCTTCTTTTTTGTGTTTAAGATCAGCAAGGATTTCACTGTTAAGCCAAGCTGGTCGCCTGCCATATTTACTATTCTTTCTACATATCAGGATGGTTTGTTCCTGCAACCTCAATAATTCTTCTTTAAAATACAGCCAGTTCTCTTGGACTCCTTTCCCCCTCATGTTATTCTCCCAGGGGATCCTGCCCATCAGTTCCCTGAGGGAGTCAAAATCTGCTTTTCTGAAGTCCGGGGTCCGTATTCTGCTGCTCTCCTTTCTTCCTTGTGTCAGGATCCTGAACTCAACCATCTCATGGACACTGCCTCCCAGGTTCCCATCCACTTTTGCTTCCCCTACTAATTCTTCCCTGTTTGTGAGCAGCAGGTCAAGAAGAGCTCTGCCCCTAGTTGGTTTCTCCAGCACTTGTACCAGGAAATTGCCCCCTAACACTTTCCAAAAACTTCCTGGATTGTTTATTCCAGTTATCCTGTTCCCTAGTGGGATTTGGCGGTTGGTAGCTTGTGCTTTACCAATTAGGACATTGATCCATAAGCATTCAAGTTCATTTTCCCCCAGCTTAACGGTGACTCAGAAACAGGTCATGCCATTGGATACTGTCGGGGAACCTGTGCAGCTGTGTTCATGAACATTTGTGCCCTGCTTCGGGACCCTCGGATTGAAGTGCATTGAGTTATTATTTGATTGTTAATACTTAGCCCTCACCCTTGCCCCCCACCCCAAGTTTTACCCTTCCCCTCCCCCCTCCTGTCACGCCCCTCCATTTGCCAAGTGTCCACAGGATATCAATGATGTCCTGACACCCCCACAGACGTCTCGGAGCCTCCCACCCCAGCAGCTGTGCCGAGGCAGACTCAGAGCTGGAATCTACAGACAGCTGCAACCTGCTGGGAACCCGCCACCAAACAGGCTCCAGGGCCGGAGCTCTAAAGATGGCCGTTCCCACCAGCTCCTCTGTGGAGACAAGACATGAAGGAGCCCGTGTCTCAGACTGTGTGGGTGTGGGTGACTGAGTGGGGTCTGTAGCTGACTGGCGGCCAGGGCCCGTGAACCGCCCCAGGCTTAGCGCAGTCCCCGGGGACCCTGCAGGATTGTCCTCCAGAGCTTTGCCCAGCCTGGCAGGCGATTCCACAGTCAAACTGATCTCACTGGCCCTGAGTGCCACCTCAATGTTCCCTGTGTAAGGCCCCCCTGCTGCCAACCCCCTCAATAATCCCTTCTGGTGCCCCCATGTGAGGCACTCACAGGCTGTTTGCCTGCCCCCACTCCCACCCTCACGCCAGTCCCCCAGCCAAACTGGGCTGGTTGGTCCCTCAGACCCTGCTCATTTGTGCCGCTCCTCCCTGAGCTGCCCCCGCTCCTCAGAGTCTCTCTCTATAGCTGTGCCCCTAGGGTTGCCAGGCGTTCAGCGGGAGCCCGGGGCAAAGGCAGGCTCCCTACCTACTCTAGCTCTGCGCAGCTCCCAGAAGCAGCCACCAGGTCCTCGCGGCCCCTAGGCGTATGGGTGGCCAGGGAGGCTCCCCGCACTGTCCCCACCCCAAGAGCTGGCTGCACAGCTCCCATTGGCTGGGAACCGTGACCAATGTGAGCTGTGGTGGCGGCGCCTGCAGACAGCGTGCAGAGTCTCCCTGGCCACCCATGTACCTAGGGGCTGCAGGGCCCTGGTGGCCGCTTCCTGGGACCCACGTGACCCTGCACCCCTAACCCCCTCCTGCACCCCAACCCCCCTGCCCCAGCCCAGAGTCCCCTCCCACACCCAAACTCCCTCCTGGAGCCCGCACCACGCCCACACCCCAACTCCCTGCCCCAGCCCTGAGCCCCCTTCTGCACCCCAGACCTCTCATCCCTGGCCCTATCCCAGAGCCCACACCCCCAGCCGAAGCCCACAACCCCTCCCACACCCCAACCCCCTGACACAGGGATGGGGGAGTCCAGCCAAGCTCCTCTGCACATCCCTAGCCCCCGGCTACACAGAGCCAGTCAGTGCACTAAGTGGGGTGCAGCCTGTGCCCCCAGGACTTGGAGGGGACAGCAGGGAATCTGCAAGGGGCTCCTTCATCTTCTGGGTCGGTTTCAGGGATTTCCCTACAGGGTTCCAAGGTTTTTTCCCTGGTCCTAGCCTGACAGCTGGGGGTGACATCCTCCAGCTCCCCACCAAGCAGGCACTGCCCCCCCCCCACCAGTGTTCTCCAGCGCAGGAACCCACGGGGAGCAAGGGGACCCATCAGTCCTCGTCCTGCCTGCTGAGGGAAGAGCCAGGGCCAGGTGTGGGGGTTGGGTGCTGACCTGGACCCTTGCCCATTAGACACAGGACCGAGACCCAGCGAGCTCATTTCACAGCAGCCAGCCATGCCTGGCTAAGCCTTTCAGCCACCCCCAACCACTGTGGGCCTGAAACCATTGCCCTGCCTTTATTCCAGCCAAACCCTTCTAGTAACTGAGTGCCTCACACCCATGGTGCGGATGGGAGCTGAGGCCTGTCTGCACAGCCAGAAAAGGGGTGATCTTACCTGGGTTAGAATAGCAGGTGGCCCCAGCAGCTTGGCTCTTACCTCAGCTCAGAACACCACTTTCTGCAGTGCAGACAGACCCTCGGAAGTTGCCCAAGGAAGGCTGAGTCCTGTGCTGCACCTGGGGTGTCCCAAGGCCCAGGCTCGTGCCCAGACCACTGCACCCTCCTTTGCAAACACTCTTGAGGGCATGGTCAATCCCCCAAGAGCTGGGCAATTCCTGCAGCCTCCAGAACAGAATGGTCAGTCACTAGGCGCAGCGAAGAGCCCAGACCCTTTCTGGACCTGCTGGGATTCTCCTGCAGAATGCCAGGGGCTCTCTGCAGCCAATGTGGGGATGTCCAGGAGGGTCCATGCTGGAGAAGCAGCAATTTGCCAGTTTATTCCCATAAACCCACCTTTGGGACAAGCAACCTTCCTGCTTCACCCTCAATGGAATGGGCCTTGTTCATGAATATCAAGAGCCCCAGAGCTCCACCTCCAGGGACCCCACAATCCATCATCTGCAATGTCTCCATTCCTAGAACCTCCTGCCCTGAGTTTTCATGGCGCTTTGCAGATTCTCTCCCCCAGCATCTGTGAAATGTAGCCACCTCTTGGGTGGAGCAGCAGCCAGATAGAACATAGCATGTCGAACAGCAGTGCAGGGAAGCCCATAAAACAAGGTGCCAAGGGATGTCCTAGCAGAGCAGGTAGGATTTGGAGGGTCTGCATGTGATCTTCCCCATCTAAGCTCTCCCTACACCCCCGGGTGACATCTCGGCCCATTGGGGGCAGGTCTGAATCCCTGGGAGCAAATGGGGCAGGTTCTGTTCATCCCTCAAGGGAGACCCAGCCTTGGGGCTGCTGCAGAGATCCATGGGACATCAGGCTGAGCTCTACGGGGGTGGGCAAGCTGCCCTGGGTGCTCAGGCTGTGGGTGTCCCCGAAATGGACTGATAACCCCGGGGAGGGACATAGTGTTGGCTAATAGACGCTGGCTAGCATACATATAGTATGCTGATAATACTGCCCGAAGTATAGGTACTCCATGTGTTTAAGCGTGTATATTATGAAGTATTAGCATAGCAGTTCTATAGCCCAGATTGGCCTGTACCTTTGTTATAACCCTGCGCGCTTATGGCAAGTCTTCCAGAACTCCTTGCTGTAGCTGCTAGTCAGCCTTGGCCTGTCCGTAACAGGACAGGTGATTTTATTTCCTCAGGGCAGCAAGCAAGCAGCTGCCCACAGAAACCGAGGCGAGGCCTGCATGCCCCTTAGTCCCTGGCATGCATGTCTCAGAACACAGGTAAGGGGGCATCATGACCTGCATGCATACTGGATTCAGAGCTAGAGAGAAAGGGGCGCCCTCAGTACTAGAAACAGACAAGGTACAAAGATGATTAATTACGTTCCATTTCAAACGACGTACCAGGGACCTTTTCTGGGTGAACCGGGAGGGTATAAAGGGCTGGCTTGCGAGGTGTCTGCAGAAGGCGAATGGAACAGCACTGCGTGCCAGTGCATGGAACTGCTCTTCGGAGTCTGGGATTGTACAGAACCTCTGGGGCAGATTGATAAACCTGACTGACATGGGGCATTTGGTCTCTGGAGTATATTTCATAACAAAATAATGAACCAAAGTGCTGTCAAGCAACCGACTATCCAGTTTATCAACACAGCAGGTAAATGCTGGAGGGAGCAAATCTGACTTCTGGCTGGAGCAGCAGCCGCACAGATCAGACGAGGGGCCTGGTCCTGCCCAGGGCTGGACACGCTCCGCTCTCACTACAGCCAAAGGGATTTGAGGGTGCTCCGAGGTGTGCCCCTGGCTCCCACACCAGCAGTAAAGGCAGGGGACGTTCCCCTTGTTGGTGAATTTCTGCCCCGTCGCACCACAGGGCTAAGTGCTGGCAAGGAGCCAACTCCCAGCTGCTGTCCGTCCTCATGTCCCACTTCCCCGGCATGCCAAGACCCTCCCTGATTGGCACCTGGTTCGCTTGCCCTCAGCTGTCCCTGACACCCGACACACCTCCCCATCCCGCCTCCTTCCCAGGCGCTCCGGCTCGCCTGGGAAATCAATGGGCACGGGGGGGTGCAGGCTAAATTGCCAGGCCAGGGGAGCCAGATACCTTCTAACAAGCCGCACGTGGCATTGGGGGGCGCGTGGGGTCAGGAAACCCGATCCCTCTGGCCAGTGGCTGGCGACACTCGGTTTATTTATTTGCTGGAGAGGGGCAGCTCTGTCTGTCAGATAACTGGCGGGCGTGGAGGGATCCCTGTGGATGGCTCACACCACCCGTGCCATGTCAGTCGTCTGCTAATCCCCTCCCCCCGGCACATCAGCTCAGTGCCTGAGGCCCTCCTGGACTGGATTCCTCTTCCAGGCTCTGGGCGTTCCGTGAGGGCACTGCCCCGGACCGGGGAGCATGTCGGCGCTGCTGCCCTCGGAGGGGCTCCCCGGCACTGAGCGTGGAGGTAAGGAGCAGCAGGGTGAGCCAAGGGACGTGCTCAGGGCTGGGGGACTGGGGCTGGGAGAGAGCTCCTGGGGATGGGGGTGCTGTCTCCAAGCTGGAGGAGCAGTGCGGGCGGGGAGGGGGACATCGACGGGAGTCGTACATGTTTCAGTGCAGTGAATGCTTGTCCCCACCCCCCTGCAGGGAGGTCAAGTCACCAGCATGCTCCTTGCTGGGCCGAATTCCCTCCTGCCGGTAACATGGAGTGTTTGGTTTGCACCGCAGAGCTCCTGCTGCCTTCCCTTGGCCGGAACCCGGCGGGTCGTCTCAAAAGCCCCAACCCCACCCCAAGAGAAGCCCGACCCCTCTGGGTTTCATTTAATACTGATGAGGCAGGCAAGGGGGCAAAGGAAACCTGCGAAACTGCAGGTTCGCTGCACGGCTTGGGCCAATCAGCGTCCCTCCATTTACACCAGCTGAAGCTCTGGCCCCTGAGGCTGAGATTTCAATGGCGCCGTTAGGCCTGTGCAGACACAAAATCTGTATGGCTGTGAGGACACCCAACTCCTAGTGCGCACTGTTAGCAAGGGGTTATGCTGGGAGACTCGTTCCTTACATGGAGGGTGGGGGACGGCACCGTAGGCCAGGATAACTGTGCCCACATCAGGGGCTGTACGGGTACCTACAGCCCTATAAAATCCCGTCCCTAATGGAAATTCAGTTTGGTACAAGCAAGCAGAATGGTAAAAGCAAAGGCTCCCCCCGGCCGCACTTTGCCTTTGAGCCCAAGGGCTGCGGGTGCAGCATGAACCCCCCGTCTTGGTGCTGCTGTGATGGGCTGTGAAGAGACCGGCCACGCTGAGCAGTGCTCCGGCTGCAGTCGGTCGGGAGAAGAGGCACAGGGTTCATGTCGCTCCCCCGGGAAAGCCAGGCGTTATTATTAGAGCGGCTTAAACATGTTCCTTCAACATTGCTTTCTGGCTGAAAACGAGTCCCTTTTCTAAATGACATTCATTGTGGACCATTTTAGTTCTGAGAATTTTTTAAAAATCTAGGAACATATTTGGGAACAAAATGTTTTTCATTCTTTTGCTCATTTTGCAGAAAATACACAGCCAGCAGTCCTAGCGATTAGTAATAGTTCTAATAGAGAAATAGCAGAACACAAACTCCTTGGGAAGTTCACCCTAAGGCCCTGATCTCTGCACATTTTTTACTTTTCTTTTCAAAGCGAGGTCTGGAAAAGGCAGGCTTTTCCTGCAGATGCCCTCCCCGAAGGCAGGTGTGCTGCATACACCCAGAGTTCCCTTAGCAGCTGCTGGGATGCTTTCATTCTGGTTTAAACAACGTTTCCCCCCTCTCTAAGTCCATCACAACCCAAGCAGACAGCATGCAGATAAAAAGGCTCCATTCCTCCCAGGGTCAGGAGTGGTGTGATGCTTCCCGGGGTGTCCAGGGTTGTGGGGCATCTTGCTGTTGTTAGTTGTTGTTCTCTCTGCGTGCTGCACTGGCTCTGGCCAGATAGCCCAGACAGCAGGCTCCAAACACACCGCCCAATAAGACCACAAGACTTGGTTTTGCAGTGAAGGCACCTGGCCAGGTTTGTTGTCAACTACGCACGGTCCTAGCTCCCCAGATCAACGTCTGCAGTTACACTAGTGCATGTGTGCTTGTTGCAATGGACACAGCTCTGTGAATGGCGGGATTTTCCATTCCCCTCTCGGCTGGCCGAAGACTCCCTCTGAGGCTCCTTTTTATACCCTGACACAAACAAGTTATGTGTTGCCCCTCTGACATGGTTAGTTACCACCCTTTACCTTGTACATGTTGGTTTGATCAAAACATCTCCATCCATCACGCTGACCTGGGGCAGGGGGTCAGTGTGTCCTTATATCATCTTCATGGAATGTGTTTACACCATAACCCTGTATCGGGGTGTTCTGGTACCACCCTTCTGGAATGTGTTTGCATGAGTGTCCTGTGCCTAGCATGTCTCAGGAACGTGTGTGTGTTTGCAGTGCCAGCCCTGTGCTTGCCAGGTTCTGTGAGCCAGACTCCTGCTCACAGCCTGACTTTTACTAACTTTGCTTTATATTAGCAGGACTTGACCACTACTTTAGTTCAGGCCTCACACTGGGCCTCTGATACAAGACCTCATGTCTCAGGCTCTCTTTCTACTATATTTCATAGAATCATAGAATATCAGGGTTGGAAGGGACCTCAGGAGGTCATCTAGTCCGACCCCCTGCTCAAAGCAGGACCAATCCCCAGACAGACTTTTGCTCCAGATCTCTAAATGGCCCCCTCAAGGATTGAACTCACAAACCTGGGTTTAGCAGACCAATGCTCCAACCACTGAGCTATCCCTTCCCCCACCTTTTGTCTTTTCATGGGGAGGATGTTTGCCCATCATCCCAGAAAAGCATAACACATGGCCTGAAGATGACCCAGTGGGCTAAACCCTGTTATGTGGTCACCTTACTTTACCATCCACATGTGCATGCCCCATCTGTCTCTTAGGCTACATCTACACTACAAGGGGGAGTCGATTTAAGATACGCAAATTCAGCTACGTGAATAGCGTAGCTGAATTCGACGTATCGCAGCCGACTTACCCCGCTGTGAGGACGGCGGCAAAATCGACCTCTGCGGCTTCCCGTCGACGCCACTTACTCCCACCTCCGCTGGTGGAGTAAGAGCGTCGATTCGGGGATCGATTGTCGCGTCCCAATGGGACGCGATAAATCTATCCCCGGGAGGTCGATTTCTACCCGCCGATTCAGGCGGGTAGTGTAGACCCAGCCTCAGTCTGCACATTCCCTCTTACGACTGGTGAACAGATTTTATTTTCCAATTGTTTTTAGTCCCTTATGGTAGGCCTGAGAATGTTAGGTCTGGGACTTTGATTGAGGAATGTAGTTTTATGATTAAGCCTTCGGGGCACTCCCAGATAATATATATGGACATGGTATCTATGTGCAGTGTATAAGGGTGTAATGTGTATGCATACATATGACACCACCTCATATTTAAGCATCACAATCCATTTCCAAGCTGGTGTTGTAGTCTGGCCCTTTTACTTTGGTGCTGCAGATAGCAACACACTCCTAATAGGAGTCTCCTCACCAGCTGTGAGCAGACGTCAGGTTCAGCGCCTGTCCCCATCAGCCTCCAGCAGCACAAGTACAGCCTCCCAGGCCTCCCGCTCTCTGTACAGGTAACAGTAGACACATCACAAACCCCGAGTCCCTTGAGCATCTCTCCAAAGTGCCCAGGCCCTGAGCCACTGCAGAACTCTCAGATCCGCTCTTCCCAAAGGAACAGCACACCCCAGCTTGCAAGACTCAGCTCAGGACCCCAACTCTGCTTAACATACAGCACCGAAAGCCAGGTTTAGTGAAACCACAAATAAATGTAGTAGCAAAGAGCAGAGATTCAAGTGGTTGTGAGTAAGAATGTGGGAAACATAGAACACAAAATCATCACATGCTTCCTAGGGCCTAATCTTAACTAACAAGACATTCCCCTGACTCCTACAGGATAGTTTACCCCAAGTCCTTTCCCCAGCATTTTCAACCACTTTGGCTGAGATCCCCCTTCATGAGACAAGCTTGTCCTCCCAGATGAAAGGTACACACAGTGATATCCTCAAATGTTTATTGTCCTTCTCAATTGGACTCTCCTCTGCTGGTTCACTTTTTCCTTAAATCTTTCTTTGCAAATTGCACAAGCCTTCGTTAGCCCCAGCGTAGACTGCCAAAGGAGGCCAGTTCTGAGCCACACAATACTGGATTTACATGTGAACAGACGGGATAGAGAAACATTTCTTGCCTGACAGAAAACCTGCTTTACATCTTTCTGGTGACCAGTCCCTAGTCACAGACTTGAAGAACACAATTTTCAGGTATATCCATAACTCCTTACACAACATCCGTACGTACATCCTGCAGTGAGGATGATGACCGGCGTGACGCAGGCTTTCCGTGGAGACCTTACATGTCATTCTTTTGGTGAACCTAGGGATCCCTGTCCCTCTCTAAAAACAATGAGGAGTCCGGCGGCACCTTAAAGACTAACAGATTTATTTGGGCATAAGCTTTGCATCTGAAGAAGTGGGTTTTTAACCACAAAAGCTTATGCCCAAATAAATCTGTTAGTCTTTAAGGTGCCACCGGACTGCTCGTTGTTTTTGTGGATACATACTAACACGGCTACCCCCTGATACTTGTCCTGCCATGTACTCCTGTGCCCATTGGCATCCAGAGGTCCTTGGGGCACAGCCCGATCCTGGTAGATCTTCTCAGAGACTGTTACACCAACTGGGAGCGGCTCCACCTGTGGGGGTTACCGGTGGTAACATGTGTTCTCCTTGGTGGTACGGGTAAGCAGGACCACCCCCTAGAAATGGATCCTGGAACCAGCTGGGTATTAACAGAGACTGTATTGTTAATTGGCACAATCCTGACATCTCCCTTTGTGTAGAATCCTCTCCTGGAGTCAATGACTGGTTGGCTGGAGTGAACGTTTCAGAACTGGGACCAGTAACACTAATTGTTAGAAACTCCAGAGGCAAGTCCCTTGGGACAAGCCAACAAACAGGCCGATGCCGCCCCCCTCTCCCTTTTCTTCTTTCTCTTGGGCCCTGTCCCTCATTGTAATTCTCCCTGAGGATACCTGGCTAGGCCTCCTGCTGCCGATAAGCCCTACCGCAGCCCCTTGGACACAGGCAAGCAAACTCTGTAGGGTCGCTCCTCTGAACAACCCTAGCAAAGATGCTGCCCTTTGCAATGCCAAGTACCAGTGCTCTCACCTGCCCGGATGGTGGTGGGAGATCCGCTCGCTAGCTGATCAAAGCATAGGTGCCAAGCTAATGTGAGTTCCCCTGGCTTCCCACTCCTCCCTGCTCTTGCCACCCACCACCCAATGCCTGCTCAGCGACATGGCCTGAGCCCTGCAGAGCCAGCCCAGGAGATGGGGGCAGCTGCACGAGGTGCGGGAGAAGTGTTGCAGCACCACAGGGTG